GGATTTGGGTCCTGATCACCACAATATTTATTTTCAATCCAGATATGTCATAATTAAGCCAAAGCATACTCTGTACTGTATAACCATAAATTTTAATTTGTTTAATAAAAACAGATAATTAAAAGATAGCTAATTAATTTGGAGATTTGAATAAATGAAAATTTGATCAATTATTTTATACACTTGATCATTAATATTGCTTTATGAAAACAATATATTATGTGAATAGCTGTAATGGATTGAAACGAAATATTTAATTAGTGTGTGTGTCGATGAAAGAGGTCTGCCGCTGAAGTTTATATCGGAAATCCGTAAATAAAAATGAATTTAATAATAATTCAATATTGCATAATGGAGGGAAGTAAAAAAATACCACAAATTAGAGCCAGGTTGCAATATTTCACTGGAAACTAATTAAATCATATAGTGAAGAATTTGTTTGGATTTATCATTGTATTATTATAATTTATATTGGTTACTGGGTATATTAAATGAACTATAACAATAGCTTAAAAGTCAATCTATTAAGTGGCATTTGAAAAGGATGAATAAATTAGAAAAATGTACAATTTTGACTAATGTATATATTTTTTTCTCGAATATGGCGATTAAAAAAATACTAAACCAAAATTACTGTATTTTTTTGCACCTAAGATATTATATGCGAAATATCTGATTAATAAAATTAGTTAATAATCTGCACCAGATAATGAAATTCAATATATTCTTTATTTGTTATTTTTTGATTATTTCATTTATTACAATTGCTTGTTATTTGTTAATGTATTGTGAAGGAGCAAGGATGTGGTTATACAGGGTTACAAAGAGTTGTTTATACTTTTTTCATGCAAAAAAAAAACAACCAGAGACCAATTTTCATCCAAATATCGATATTAGTTTAGAAATTATTTCGAAAAAATCGAAATAAAAATGAAACTTACTACACTTTGTATCTCGGAAACGAAGCATTTTAGAACATACATTTATACGAACTTTTTTTTCTTATTTTTATCTGGCAAATATGCTCCGGAAGTTTCCCGAAAACAATTCGGACCACCCTGTGTATAAAAATTATGGCCTTTTTGTTTTGTATTTTATTTAACTTTGAACTAAATTAAATTTTCCATAATAATGTATGTATTGTAAGCTTTTTAAGTCAATGGTTTGTGGTCTGTGGTAACATATTATTAAATATATCTAAACAATTTTGTAAAATTTCTTTAGAATTTTATGAAACTATGCACAAATATAAGATTTTTAAAAGTTGCTGATCAAAGATGCTGTAATGTCATTTCTCTCCTCCGTTTTGTTGTAAAACATAACGAATTTCCCGTCATTTCTCTGTAGGTTTTTTTATTAGGAAATTATCCTGGAGGGAATTTCTTCTAATTATTACATTTTCATTTAATATACATCAATAAGTAATTGTTTGCCAACCTGAATTACTAATACTTAAATAACTTATACTAAGGACTTACTCACTAGGGTTCCCTATTTTTTGCTATTAATTTATTAAGCTTGGAGTACTTATGGAGTACTATGACCGATGTTGTATCCTAATAGTGATCACATATTTGTTTTAAAAATAAATGTATATAACTAAATAGTTTTCATGGTCATTATTTGACCCATGTGTAGTTTATTGTATTATTAATTGCAAATACTATTGCAATAAACCAATAAATGACCGGTAAATCAATAATTGGGTTTGTGGGGTTAAATCGATCCAAATACTGACCGCAAATCTATACTAATATATAAAATCCTTAAGTGACTGACATACTGATTAATCACGATCCTGCTCAAACCACTCAACGTAAGAAGCTCAATTTTGGCATACAGGTTGATTCTAGGGTGTAGAGGTTCTATAAGAAGGGATTTTTCGAAATTCCAGTTCCAAACCAAACCACCCCTCAAATATTACAATATTTTTTTATTTAAAAAATGGTCAAGTTTCCGAAAAAACGCTTAATCACGTATATTTTATTTTGTTTTTTTACATATTTTAAGATTTTTTAAAAATGTATACAGGGTGTTTCGAAAAATCTGGTCATTGATTAATCACGATCCTGCTTAAAGCGCTTGACGTAAAAAGCTGATTTTTAGAAAACAGATTGACTTTAGGGTGTAGAGGTTCGGTAAGAAGGGATTTCTCGAAACTCGAATTCTAAGAGGGTGAAACTATCCCTCAAATATTAAAATATTTTTTATTTAGAAACCGGTGAGTTTTCCGGAAAAACTCTTAAACTTTTATTTTGTTGTTTTACATATTTTAAGATTTCTTGTAAATTTATACAAGGTGTTTCATAAAATATGACCATTGAGTAATCACGATTCTGCTTAAACTGTTTGACGTTTAAAGCTGATTTTTGGCAAACGGATTGACTGTGGGGTGTAGAGGTTCGATAAGGAGGGGTTTCTCGAATCTCAAATTCCAAGAGGGTGAAAACGCCCCTCAAATATTACAATATTTGTTATTTAAAAAACGGTTAGTCTTTCGGGAAAACGCTTGGACAAGCATAATTTATTTGGTTTTTTTACATATTTTGAAATTTTTTAAAAAATCATACAGTGTTCCAAAAAGTTTGATAATTTCTTAACCACGATTCTGCTTAAACTGCTTGACGTAAAAAGCTTATTTTTGGCAAACGGATTTTTCGAAAGTCAAATTCCAACGAGATGAAACTACCCCTCAAATATTACCAAGTTATATAATAATATCGCCACCTTGTTTTTCCTCATGCTGACATAAATGTGAGAAAATTTTATCCAGTTTGTATGTTAATGGAAATTCTTGCTTTGCTCTATCATCACCATTACAAATGATTAGTTCGACGCGAACAAAGTCGCTGGTACACGCTAGTTATTTTATACAAATTATGTGAAAAATAAAAGCCTTAAATATGTAAAAGCAACGGCCTAGCTACGTTAAGCGACGTAAAGCGATACTGGTGGATGGACGGGTGACCGGTTCGAAACTCTGTATCGTGCTGTTGTTCAAGGGAAAAGTGTAAAATCTATTGATACACACTGCTCATTCACGCCGGTTCGAGGCCGGATGAGATCGGATATCTCGTGAGTAAGAGTTGAGTTAGACACTTCCTAAGTCGGTAGGCCATTGACCATGATATGGCCGAGGACGGCGGTTTGGATTCCACGTAAACAAAGTAGGCCCCGTCTAGATTAACCCTGGCAGCAAAAAGGAGACGTTAACTGAAATCTTTACTTTACTTTAAATACGTAAACACTAGATAGAGATAGTTTATTGTTTATGAATGTTTTAATATTCTTATTTAAACAATGTAAAGGCAAAATCGGTCAATAATTAGCGATCGGTCACTAATTGGCTAGTTTACCTTATAAGAATTATTTGTGTGAATTCTTCCTTTGACTGTTTCTAGACGGATGTAACTTGTCACAAATAACTATCCGCTTTGTATTTCAATTACTGAAATTGTTTATGTTTAATAATTTTACATTAAACTGATAATGTCAATATTCTTTTATAATTAGCAGGCGTCTCTTGTGTTCTTGTATTAATTGGGATATCTGTAAAATGCTTTTATAATTTAACCAATTATTTGTTATCATTTTTAAAATATATAGCTGTTTTATCTAAATAAAATATTGTGGGTGACCATTTTTAAAAACAGAAATCGTTTTTATTACATCCTGATGAGATAATGAGGACCAATAAAAGTTGGAATACAGAAAGCCACGCCTAGTATATTTCCATTAAGCGATTGCAATGGTCAGATTCTTTATAATCTAAATGAAAACAGAGATTAGCACAAGACCCGGAATAAAAAACTGTTTGGTTGTTCAACACATGTATAAAATTAATTATAGTAGTCGATGTTTGTTCTTCGTTTGATATATCATATTATATATGTGACTTTAATCAGTATATTCCAAGAAGGTTATATTGTTTGATAATTGTAAGTTATTTTTATAATTTTTGTAAAAATTATCATTTTTTAACATAATCTTTCAACGTTGATATACGAATTGATGGTTTAAGGTGGTTACGGTTCTTAAAATAATTGAACTATATTTTCAGTTTTTATTTCAATAGGAATAACATTCAGCCAGTGGCGGCTCGTGACCTTTACACTAGACAGTGCTGCATAATTGCAAAAAATAAATATCAAGATTTTATCAAGTTTAAAGACTTACCGAGTGATGAATTCCCAAACGGCTTAGCTAGTAGAATAAAATAATGTTCTTGGTATAGATGAATGAGATTTAGCACAAAAGTCACTATTAACAAAATAACAGTTTTATAATAAGACGCATAAATATTAGTTATTTCTCGTTTTCTTAAAAATTAACTCGATCCGTCTGTCCTTTTGTTTGGCAAACTTGTCAATCACACGTTCATTGAAGTCTGATATGGACCGAATTAGTCTTTGCTCGATTGTGAGGCATGCTAAAGCATTTAGTCTCTCTTGGCACATCGTACTTCTTAAAAACGTTTTAATACGATTTAATGTAGAGAAGTCTCTCTCGGCCTCTACGGTAGTCATTGGCATAGTAACAAGAATTTTTAATAATTTTATCACTTCTCTAAATACCTCTTGAAGATTGTTACTAACTAGAAAGTTAAGTAGCACAGCACATGACGAAAAGTTTCTATATTCTTCACTGGAGTATAAAACAGTTAATTCTGTTTTTAGCCTCTGCTTTTCTAAAAAGGGGTATGATTTCATGGTTTCTGTGAAGTAGTCTTGGGGGAAGGTCAAATCATACCATTCAAATTTTTCGCAAATCAACAGGTTTGCAGCATTTAGTTGGTCAGTATATTGAAATCGGTCTTCGGCAACATTAATTATAACATCACAAACCTCAGTAGCTGATATTTTCCAAGTCTCATCATTAAATTTTAATCTTTTCGTATCGATGATATTTTCAAACGATTTTGCTTTTCCATAATTTCATGCATTTTCTGGTTTCTGATTGTGGTTATATTTTCCTTAAATAATTTCAAGCAGCGACTGATTTCAACGGAGTCTATAATTCTTTTGTAGTTCGTTATACAAAATATCTACATGAGGCATAATGTAGTGAAATAGGGTAAGCCAAAAGACAAACGATCTTTCTTGCAATAGTCTTCTTATTGCTCCTGCCTGATTTTTTGTCGTAGTATTAATACCAGATGTTTCTTCGATTTCTTCCATACATTCTATCAAATCTTCCCTATATTCAAAAACAACATTTACTGTGCGGCTTTTAAAATTCCATCTAGTGGGCACAGATCTTGGAATTCTACGCCCAACTACTTTATTCAAAAAATGGACTCGTTGACTAGAGTTAGAAAAAAATATTGGTATTTCAGAGAGGTTTCCAAAGAATATCCGAACATCACTGTTTTGAGAGGCTGCTTGTGTCATTATTAAATTTAACTTGTGTGCATAACAATGCACAAAATGAGCTAAGGGATATTTTGCCTTAATTTTAGCCTGAACTCCTCCATGTCTCCCGCTCATTACTGCTGCACCATCGTACGATTGAGCAATCATTTTATTTGGATTTTGCCCTACCAAGGGTTGGAGTTCATTTAAAATGAGGGAGCTAAGCGAATCAGCTGTTTGTTGAGCGCTGGTAAAAAAGCCCCAAAATCGCTCAACTGCTGTGCTTCCTTTAATATAACGAAAAACCAGAACTGTTTGAAGTTTTGAAGAAACGTCGGTGGTTTCGTCGGCCATAACCCCCAAGAAATCCGCATCATGTATTTCCCTGGTAACTGTTTCTCGATAAACTTCGAAAATGCAGTCTAGTAAATCGTTCTGGATTTCTTTCGATGTTCCTTTAAAAACAGTAGAGGATTCTAAATGTTCTTTTAATGTTTTATCCAGTTCAGCAGTATAATTGATAAGACCTAGAAAAATTCCAGGATTTTTTGAAGTTTCACGTTCATCGTGGCCTCTTAATCCAAGCTCAAACATGCCGCAAAATTTTATAGCATCTATAATTTTTGAAAGCACTAACCTGTTTTTTGCAACTTTTTCATTATGAACAGCTATATTTTGCCAAAACGCCGTGTCAAGTTGTTCTTGTATATTCACTTTTCCTAACAAGGCAAAACGCATCTCATTACTTATGTGTTGTTTTGAATTTTCATGAGCCTTAGCCTTTTCACTTAAATGCGTTAAGTCACTAACACCATGGCTTGTCCAATGCACATCACCACCAAACAGTACACAAGTAAAACAAAATAATTTATGTTTAATGTCACAACCACAAATCCAATTGTACTTAGAATAAATGTTTACGTTAAATTTTCTAATGTAGGTTTTGCCGCGGCTTTTCGAAGAACACTCTATATTTAATTCCGGTTTTGGACGTCCAGTTTCTTTAATTTCTAATTTTTCGTCCATCGACAAACGCGAAAAGTCTTTATATTTTATAGGAATTTCCATAATTTAATTTGGAATCGATTTCAAACAAAACTAAGGACTAAGTCCAGAAACAAATATTTTTAGGGGGTGAATTCATCAATTAATTCGCCAAAGTATTCTTGAGTGAACTATTTTATACGGCAATTTCTCAAAAAAATTAACCTATGTTCAAGAATACATCACCCGGACCCCGAAAAGTGCAGCACGAATTTAATAGTTTCTGCTTCTCCGATTGGTCAACTCAAGGCCAAATTTACATGTGCTCCCATTATTTTTCGTAAGGGTGACGTAGGACTATCGGCTGTGAACGAGCCTATGACGCGTGTCGAGCGGAGCTGATTTGCTGATTCCGTAGTCGGGCGATAGAGGGTGGTATAATCGACGGATGGACAAAGCCAACGAGTTTGAATATACAGAGAACTATTCAAGAATTTCAAGATAAATAAAAATAATATAGGTAGTTTAAGTATGAATCAGAAAATTAGGTATGTATTAGGAAAGAAAATTGTGGCGGTGTTTTCAGCCAGTGCTGCAGCTCTGCAGCTCTTATTGAGAAACCGCCACTGCATTCAGCTAACCATGTGAATTTTAATACCAATTATTGTTACACGGAAAAAAGCGAGCAGAAAATTTTGCTACAAATATAACACGGTAAATGTATTATCAACTGATATAAATGTATCCGCTGTTACTTAGTTTAATCAAAAATGCAGGTTTCGTTGTAGCAGTGAGTCTTATACCGGATACGTCTCGAAAGTGGCTCACCCCTATAACTTTTTTTATTTTTTCAGATAAAAAAACGTGATTTGGTATGTTAGTGTATGACATAAATTAGGATTGTTTGACGTATTCAATTGTTTTTGGTCACTTCCTGTTTCACCGGAAATGACTACAATTTACTTTAGATTTTTAAATGGCACCCTCGGTATATTTCTAGTTTATTTGATAGAAAATGATACTGTGAGTAGAATGCTTACCTTACGTCAACTTACGACATTTTTGCTTGAAAAAAAAATCGTATTTTAAATTTCAATCTAGAGTGCAATGATTGTGTTAAAAACACTAATTTTTAATCAAGGGGCATTGGAAAAATTGATATGATCGTCTACGGTTAAAACATGCCCAAATCGTATTTTTAATCATATTTCAGTTTTTTTCAAATGGAACAAGGGTGGCTCATTAGCATATTTGGAAAAACAATTTTACGACATATTACATATATGATAATGTGTCATTCTATTCAGAGCGACATTTTCTATCCAATTAAGTAGAAATATACCGCGTATGTCATTTAAAAATCAAAAGTTGTAATCATTTCCGGTGAAATAGGAAGTAACCAAAAACAATTAAATACGTCAATTAATCCTAATTTATGTCATATACCAAATCTCGTTATTTTATCTGAAAAAATAAAAATGTTATAGGGATGAGCCAATTTTGAGATGCGCCTGGTATATTTGTAAATAAGCTTTTGTAATAATCATTGTAAAAGTTTGTAGTAAGTAGTAGTACAAAAAGTTTGATTTGCTTATTGTTGGCGTGGTAATTGAAACCGTTCGTTGTCGGGTAGGTTGTGACAATTTTATAAGGTCAGGGCCGGATTTACCACTAGGCACACTAGGCAATTGCCTAGGGGCGCCAGCTGCGAAAGCGGCGCCAGCGATAGCCGGCGTTTATTAATAATTAATACTTATTACGTAACTAAAACCTGGAACTAAGAAAACCAACAAAAAATGTTTTTGTTGGTTTTTAATTTGGATATTTTGTAATAAAAAATATTAGCAATTTTTTATCGTTTTTGTATGTTCTACAAATTGATGGGGGCGCTTTTATTGTAAATCCGGCCCTGTATAAGGTGATCATCAGGGGAGAGAGAAAATATGGCGGACGTGTATATGTGTGGAATTTGTGATCGTGCTGTAAAGGCAAATCAAACATCAATTATTGAGTGCGCCATTTTGTGCTTGGGTCCACAGGAGATGTTCCGGTCTCGGAAAAGTGAAGTATGAAAAAATTTTTGCCGAATTTTGGAAAAATAAGACTCATAAGTGGGACTGTAAATAGTGTAAGAAAACTGAGGTTAGGAGACTATCATTTGGAGAAACATTTTCTCTGCAATATGTGGTATTGATTAAGAGCGTTTTGTAGAAATTATTACTACAAAAGTATTTAAGAATTGCCGATAAGCAATTTAGATGTCACTATAATTTGTAGTTTTGGTGAAGATCGAAGATGTCATTTTTACTACATAACAATGAAACGGAAATATTGCCGACATGTAGATTACATTTTACTACAATCTTTGAGGAATTATTCCTTGATTTGCAGTTTATGACCTTAAATACTTCCATATTAAAACCTACAGAACTATGAACTGCTTTTGCAATTTTTTTACTATAAAAAAATGGTAAATATTGCTACAACTTGTATTTGGCCCATATACTACTACGGTTTGCCACAAAGGATCAAGTTTTACAAATATATCATTATTATTCAGAACATTTTTTTTTCGTGTGCGTTATAGATATCCTAAATTTTAATACGCAGTACTACCAAAAGAAAAAATTGAAAAATAAAAATAAAAAATAAAGACTGGACACGAAACTTTTATTAGTTAAGAGAGGAGTTTTGACAGTGAGCGAGAAGAGCATAATAATTCATTTACAAGTCCTTTTATTAGCACCATCACTTTTCCAGTTAATTTTCTCTTTAACAACTAAATTATACTTGAGATACTAGGTACTAAACGTTCTAAAATTGCTGATGAATACTACTTTACTAAGTGTATTTAATTATATTGTGAGGAACAATTGAGAGACAAAGATAAATTAAACATAAAATGCGCTTTTAAAAAGAATAAGACGTAAATTTAAACTTTTCAACTAATAGGTTAACGAAGGACAATCAGCCACAACTGACAGCCTCTTTGCTAGGAAATTAAACATGAACAATTTCTCCTGAAACCCACATGATCGATATCCGACCGGTGGATTTTCAGTTAAAGCGAAAAACCTTTTTTGCGGTGAGCGGAAAAACTTTTGTGCCAAGCATGGGAACTCAATTAGGTCGGTCCAGCCGGGTGCCGAAGTAAACAAGCAAAGAGTGTTAAAAGGCTTAGGCGATGACCGGGTAATAAAACGTGAAATTTCTTGCGATTTTCATTGAGAATCATATTGGGTCAATTAGATTTTATTATGCTATGTGTGTGCAAAATATTTTTCTTGATATCTTCAAAAAATAATTAGACTGTTTGTTTGAAGAATAAAGGAGTATTGGTTAAATACTACCAATTGCCTTAAAAATATAACCTTTAATAACCACACATGATGTCTCAGAAATAAGTCCAAGTATTTTAACTGGTAATATATTTCGACCCCAGAAACTAACAGGCCTAAGAGGTTTTTTGCGAAAAAAATTGATGAAATTTTAAAATTAATTGAGATTATTTTTGGGACACCCTATATAACCATACTAACTATTGAAAACAACGAATTTCCGAGTACTCCTGAGAAAAATGATCAAATCTCTATTTCCGTAGACTAATCTTCCATCGAACAAAATGAACTGGCATTTCAAGATAGAAATGCCCTACTCTGACTGAAAAAAATACATCAATAACTTGTTAAATGTTAGGTTATATTAGGTTGTTTCAAAAATAGGTTTATGTTGTTAGGTATCATTTAGTGCCTTTTAAAACCTTTTTATTTTTTTTTAGCTTGTATTAATCATCGTCTCAATTAGAGTTATACAATCTTTGTACAGTAAAAGCTGGTGTGGACCAGTTTAATTTTGTGGTTTGATAAATTTTCAAAATGTAATTTTCAAATTTCCTATTTTTTTTTTCAAGATATTTTTATTTTAATTTAGCAATTCTTTCTTAATTAAATATCCTAGGTTATAAGGTAACAAAGGCATTACCTATAATAGTGTATAAACGTTTATGCCGAATTCGTCGTTCTATTAGTTTTGTCATCATTTTAACAAGGATAGAAATAACAATATTTTTCTGAGCTTTTAACAGCAAAAACCCTCTGTCATGCAACAAAAAAAATTGGGGACTCCGAAAAATGTACTATGAGAAAAACAAATTCGAATGTCTTCTACTTCTTTTACTTATTAAAGGTTGCCTCTGTAGGAGTTCTTGGGAGATGGACTGCCAACTGTCTCTCCATCTTGTCTCGTGTTAGATTATTACCTGCTTTCACTTGAGTTGTGTTATCGATATTTAGCTTTCTCATGATTTTCACAATATTATCATGCACTTTTTTTCACTTTCAATATGTTTATAATGTCAGATAGACGTACTTTATCGAATGCTTTAGTCAAATCGATGAAACAAATATAGGCTGGTGTATTAAACTCTATTAATTTGTTTAATGATAAATACGGCGCGCGGCATCTGTAGTTGATCGATTTCGTCTAAAACCTTGTTGTTCATCCCTATTCGTAATTTGTTCCTCGAGTTCCCAGAAATCAAAATATTAGTGAAGAGTTTCATGGCTGCATCATCAGCTAAACACACCATGCTAACTCTGTAGTGTCCATAGACTTAAAATAAAATATAGACTGAGCATCTCATTCATAAATAGCTGGAACATGCGGTCAGACACTGTCTTGTTATTGTTGTGTTATTGTTTTAGGTTATAACGAGTGCGACACGAGCGATAGATAGGTTGTCTCTGTCGTAACGGTCGTTCCGAAACACAACACTGTCTTTGGTTTCTCAAGTACACCTGAACTCTCCGTATCATAGCCGGGTAATTTTTTTATTTTAATGAAGCTATAATTAAATTAAAAATATATCGTATTTAAACTTTTTTATATTTTATTAAGATTTAGGACAGGTTTTATAAATAAAAGTTTAGAAAAAAACGTCTTAGAGTCCAAAAAGGATAAAAATAATAAAATACACGTTATAGAAGAAATTTTATAATCGAAATTACGTAATTTTTGAAATTAATAATAAATTATTAATTTTAGTCAAACATTTACAACCCCTAATATTAATCAAAACAGGATCT